TCACTTTCTGTCCTGACTCAGCTAACACTGTCCAACCCATACAGAGGGGAGACTCTCTATCTGACTTTGTCTGGATGACCTAAGCTGGCTGCAGGCCGTTTTCTTCGTAGAACTTTAAAGGCATTAATTCCAGCTGTGCCGAAGGGTGGTGGACAGGGTGCTGGTCCTGGTGTAGCCCTGGCCTTGGGCGAAGCTCTGCTGTTGACAGCCTCTGCCCTCTGCTCTCTCTACCACACAGGATCTCCATGTGTCACCGTGTGTTTTACATGTACTTGTATGGAATGGTGCTCGCGTGTCTCAGACTGCTGTGCCTGAATCATTCTTCTGTAGTTTCTTACTTATTCCCATTTTATGGATGTTCTTGAGACAAGCTCTTACTGTGTAGCCCAGGTTAGCCTGGAACTCACCAGGAAGCCCAGGCTGGTTTCCAGATCACTGCAATTTTTTGCCATCACCCTTCTGAGGAGGCTGGGGTGACAGACTTGAGCCACCACACCTGACTTCTTGCTGATCCATTGAGCTGATCTGATTACCAGACTGTCTGAGGTCACCCTTCGTGTCCTGGTGAATGTTCCTTCCGTGTATACTGTCCGTGGGTCCACCTGCTAGTGAATGGATGTTTTCTTTTTGCCTTTGTTCATTCAGTGCTGCTCAATGGGTGGTTGGACACTAGTAAGTCTTCTAACCGCTTTACACGAAGCTAGAGCACACACTAAAAACCTACGTGGAAATCAACTGTATTATTAAGTGTGTGTATGTGTGTGTGTGTGTGTGTGTTTGTGTGTACATGCACATGCATGTTTATGTGTATCTACACTTTCTGGTGGAAAGAATCTGGGTTTGTTGATTTACATGTCTGTGTTCACACGTTGTTTTTTACTTCGTGAGCTGGTTCTTTAAGTGCATTATATCGACACATATATGCATATCCAAATTAGGCCAAAGTTTTGAAAGAATAATTTTAAATAGATAATTTAAATATTTTTTTCTATAGAGTTTTTAATAAAATAAGGAAGTTTCTGAACTATTACAACAAGGATTTCTCTGGAACAAACTATACATTTATGTCAAAGAAATGCCAAGACCAGAGAGGACTAGGGAGATGGCTCAGTCGAACCTGAGTTCTGATATCCCCACTACCCACATTATAACCTGGGCATGGTATATGCCTGTGGCCCAACCCTGGGAAAGCTAGGCAGGAAGCGGCTCACTGACCGCTAGTCTAGTTCAAGGGCTCACTGACCGCTAGTCTAGTTGATCTGCTGAGCTCCAGGTTGTGGGAGAAACCCTGTTTCAAAAATAAGTTGGAGAGCATCTTAGTTAGTTTTCAGTTGCTGTGATAAAACACTGAACTAAAACAACTTGTGGAAGAAAGAGTTTATTTCATCTTACATTTCCGAATGACAGCTCATTTCTGAGGCGATACTCAGGACTACGAATATGGAGCCTGGAGCGGAAGCAGACACCGTGGAGGAACACTGCTCACCTACTCGCTCCCCTGGTTTGCTCAGCTACCTTTCTTATACAACCCAGGCCCACCTGCCCAGGGATGGCACCACTACATTCCTGGGCTGGGCTTTCAGGCATCAACCAGCAATCAAGAAAATGGCCCAGAGGCCAATCCAACAGAGGAAATTCCTCACTTGAGGTCCCCCGTTCTCCAGGTGTGTCAAGTTGACCACTGACACTAGCTGGCATGGAGGGAGCTGAGGAAGGCACTGGACTCTGATCTCTGGTCTCCACACACAAACAGATGTGCACTCGTACCCACATATACACACAAAACATATGTGCATCCCACACTATGTTAAAATAAAAAATAAATAGATGATAAAGGAATGAAAGGAAAGGAAGGAAAGGTAGAAGAGTGGACCGAGAAAGGAAGGGAGGGAAAAAGAGAGAGGAAGAAATGGAGGAAGGAAGGGAGGGAGGGAGGAAGGAAAGAAGGAAGGAAGGAAAAGAACGAATGAACTAAGGAACAACTGTGCTGGGTGCTGAGCCCATTCCTGGCGCTGTCCCTGCAGTACCCACCGTGTCCTATAGGGGTCGAGTGAGTGTCCCCAGAGGAATTCCAGCAGGTCAGCCCCGGCCATCTTCAGCACTGTGAGAAAAGCCAAAGCAAACTGGTTTGGTTAACCTGAACGGTAAATGCCGTTGGCTACTTTTCCTACTACTTATGTTATGCTTTCCTTTCATCCACCTGCTCTGCGCGTTCAGAAAGACCCTTTCCGCGTCCCCGTCTGTGTCCACGTGTCCCTCTCTTGCCCCTCCGAGCCCTCTCTTATCTCTCTTCCTCCCCTGAGCACCTCGTCCTTCATTTCTTTTCTTCTTTTGGCCCCAATGACCTACCGTTCTCTCCTTGCTTCCCCCGTGTGACATCATCGTTATGGAGCCTTTACACAGAGTACTTGAACCGGAGGGTGGAAAAGCTGTGTCATAGCCCCACGCACTGGGATCCAGGCTGAGTTACAGCCTTGTCAAGTGCCAAGCTGAAGACAGAACAAATAAGCCATTCCAAGATGACGGATAGACCAGAAATCGGAGTGCGGTGTCAAGAAGTGACTGTAAAGATGAGCAGCAAACTTAGGATAATACTTCGCCCGGGGCCAGGCATGGTGGCTCACACCAACATGAGGGAGGATTGCCATGAGTTCCAACCCAGTCTAGGTTACATAGTGAGTTCTAGGCCAGCTGGGCTTTAGAGTGGGACCCTGTATCAAACATAACGAAATGAAACAAAAATTAACACAGAGATACAGGATGGGGAGGGCCAGTGACAAAAATATGATGTAGGTGTCGGGGCTGTTGAATAATAGCAGACTGATGACACCAGGGCACTGATGGGGAGCGCCGTGGGAAGAAAGGCATCATGGTTAGAAAATGGGGTTCAGAAATCAGAGTAAGGAGGGCCATCTCGGACATGATGGCCAGCCAGTGTCATGCAGGGCTGTGGACATTGCCTGCATGCATCCTGACCCCATCTCCTGCTAAATTTAGCAACTGGGGTCATGCTCTTTAAGTCTTATAAGACAGTTTCTTTTCTCTTTCTTTCATTCCTTTAGGTATGTGTATGTCTATATAGGTGTGTGTGTACATGCTTGTGTATGTTTGAGTATACATGTGTAGGTATACATGAACATGTGTGTGAGAGTTTGTAGAGGCCAGAGGTCAACTCTGGTGAACTCCCTCAGGAGCTGCTCACCTTATTTTTTGAGACATTGTCTCTCAGGTCCTGAGACTCACCAATGAGCCTAGGAAAGCTGGCCAGTGAGTCCCAGAGGATGGACCTTAAACTAGATTGCTAAGTTTTCTTTAAAATCTAGCAAATATCTAGTAAGTGTAAAAATAATTAGATACTCTCGTACACATGTATAAATGGTGGTGCTTAGTAGTTGAGATCAATAAAATACTTGTCCCTTGACCATAGGTGATGGATAAATATGGAGAGTTTTATGGCCGAGACAGAATCAGCGAGTTACTGGGCATGGATAAGGCTGCGTTGGACTTCAGCGATGCAAGGGAGAAGAAGAAACCAAAGAAGGATAGCTCCTTGTCTGCTTTGTGAGTGTCCCCTCTGCCCGCTCCACAGATGGAATGGGTTTGTGAGTGCAGGTCCTTTCCCTCTGAGGAAATCAGCAAGTGTGCATAGCGTCAATGCTCATGCTTCTGAGTACTGGGATCTGTGCAACTCTTAAGTATTGTTCCTACTAATTATTACT